CCACCCATATGCCACTCGGGACTGACTGGCGCAGGAAGGGGGAAAGTGCAGCTGAGCCCCTGCTGAGGGGCTGTGGGGGACAAGGGGTGGGAACAAAAGTAAACAGTGTTTACTTCCATTTCCCGTCGCAGCACCGCGGGCCTCAGAAAATGCCTTGGTGGGCCGCATGGCGGCCTTCAGGCTCAATGTTGGACAAGCCTGAGCTATACACTTTTTCAATGTTTTAATTGCATAGACAATTTGGACGTCTTTGTACTTGCACTTCATCCTATGCTTGAATAAAAATAATCTAGTATATAACATTTTGGATAAGGATATTTAGTTAAATTATAATAGGTAACAGATTGGAAATGTAGTTGTTTTAGTGGGGAGGGCAAATTTTTGCTTTTAAAAAGGAAATGTAATTGTGACGTTTTGTCAAATCACAGTCAAATACAAAAATGCAGTGTACTATTTGTTCTAAATCTTTCTACTAGTAAGAATCTTGTAATGAGTCATATTACCTAACTCTGTTCTGTCATTTTATAAGTTTTGCAGATTTCAGTTACTGATTTCATACATACTGTATTTACTCAAATCTAAGACATCCCTGAATTTACAACAATCCCTTCAATAATTAGATAGTTTTCCATGTATAGAATCTAATTATTGCAGGGTCATCCCTTCCCCCCCAGCCATTGCTGTGGGGTGGGGGTAGGCTTTGGGGAAGGCAGATGGTTTGGGGAATTCAAGCAGCTTGCCCCCCTGCTCCTGCCTCCCCCCTCTCCCCTGCCCCACAGACTCTGGCCTCACTTCCCACTCCGCTCCCCTTCCTCTCCGTGCCCATAGTCTCTGATCCCTAGCCCCACCCCTTCCCCTTGCTCCACCCTGGCAGATTGTGTCCCTGTTCTAGTGGGGACATGGAGCACAGCCCAGCTCAGCCCCTGCAGCAATTGTGCGGGCCCTGCACTGCTGTGAGAGAGCCAGCTGGGGTTGTGCTTCATGCCCCAGGCTGCAGTGTGCACGGAGCCTGTTGGGATGGCGCAAGTGTAAGGGTCTGGGGGAGGAGATGGGAAGCAGAGGTTGGGGGAGGGAAGCAGCTGTTATGGCCCTGACCCCAGGTATGGGCTGGAGCCAGAGCCACAGCAGCTGCTCCCCTGCCCCCACTACTACTTGATTCTAAGATGAGTGGCTTCCCCCCGCCATGTTAAGGCAGAGAGGAGGGGAGTCTTGTCTCAGAATAGAGAAAATAAATGATCTTCATATGGTCTTTTTTTTGTGTTCCATGTACAGTGCTCCAGTGTTTATATATTCCCCCTGCCCCATGAAGCATTGAAGCAAAGGTGTCATCTGTCTTAAAGTATTTTGGTCATTTTAAAATCCAAAAATGAACACTTGCATCTTTGTCCAGTCTGCTTTTGGATAAAAAGGGATTGGCATGTGGTGTACTAACTTCTCCAAAAAATGGCCTGCTACTTTTTTTATGCTTTTATAAACAAAACAGAAACTACCATTCTGCTCTTTTATAAATCCGGGGTATGTCCATACCTTGAATACAGTGGCCAGTTCTGGTCCCTACACTTCAAAAAAGGATATAGAAGAACTAAAGAAGGTACAGAGAAGGGCAACAAAGATGATTAGTGGTGTGGAGGGGCCTCCATATGAGAAGCTAAGGAGGCTAGGCCTACTTGGTTCAGAAAAGAGACTCTTAAGGGGTACATGATAAGGATTTACAAAATACTAAATACCAAAGAGAAAGTAAATACAGATTTATTATTTACTTTCTCACAATACAGGAACTGGGGTCATTAAACTAGTAGGTCCTGGGTTTAAAACTAGCACAATTTTTTTCACACAGCATGTTATTAAAGTGTGGTACTCATTGCCTCCAGATGTTGTGGAAGCTGACAGCTTAGCCAGATTTAAAAAGGGATGGGCCAAATGCCTGGAGGAAAGGTGCATTAACGTCCTAGACCTTAAATCCTGGAGGCTGCAAGTGAGAGAATGGGGGAAAACGGATCATACCCACTTTGCTCCCTTTCAGCAGCCACTCTGCCAGTGTGAGACACGGGAAGTTTTGATACCGAGTTTAGCTACCAAAACTACAAGGCATGGGCCTGGCGCTTTGGCACATAGACCATGTCCACAGTGACCACGGTCTTGCACTTGGTGTGCTTGGTGTACGTGATGGCATTGCAGATCATGTTCTTCTAGGGGTCTCCTTGCAGGTAACGCCGAAGATGCGCTTCACAGTGCCATAATGAGCCAAGTGGCTTGTAGCCAAGGATACCCTGGATGATGTTGTAGAGAATTTTACAGTGGGGCTTTAAGTCTCCTTTCCCAAGCCCCTGGCCCCTTATGCCAGGGCCAGCCTTGGTCAAGTATGTGCAGTAGACTGGGCAAGGTGGACTTGTTCTGACCCAGTCAGTGGCAGTTCTAATGTTCTTACTTTGGGCCATTGACTTCTCAGGCAAATAATCAAGTTATTGATTTCCACAGCAGGCTTTGTTTCTTTGTTCTCACAGACTTCTAGTCCAGAAGGGTTTCCACCTTTTTATGGCATGTGCCATCTCACCTACTGGCTGTCTCCTGATTCCAGCCCTTGCAACGGATCATGGGCATAAAGAGGCAAAATTCTTCTCTAGCAGAACACAGCACAATGAGAGGTCATTGTAGACTGAACATGATACAGGCATGCTTTCCTTTTTTGGGGTGGAGGCACGACACTGATGCGTAAAGCAGGAGTGGGCAAAATACAGCCCATGGGCCAGATCCAGGCCACCACATGATTCTGCCTGGCCCGTGGCAGGTCCCTTAGCCCTACCCAGCCCATGTGATGGGACAGCCAGGCTGTGGAACAGGCAGCTGGTGCAACTGCCCCCAGATGCAGAGGTGCTGTCTGGCCCAGGGTGCAGCCTGCAGGCAGCTCAGCCATGCTGGGTGGGAGTGGTAGTCCATGGGGCCAGGGGGCAGGGCAGGGGTGGTGTGGTGCCTAGACATAGCTTCCCAGCAGTCCCTGCAGCAGTAGTTTGCTCTGCTTGCATGCTTCTGGCTGCTGCTGCTGCCGCCACCATCTCTGCCACTGCCACCACACATGGTCCCACGGCCCAGGCACCCTGGCTCGTCCATCCCACACATGCTGCTTGGGGCATCAGATGGAGACCCCCGTGGGCAGGGTGTGCTCTGCCAAACTGATGGGATGGGACAGCAGGTGGGTGGGAAGCAGCGAGCAGGAATGGCACAGGTGAGTGTGCCAGGCCTGGCATTGCAGGGCAGTGACAGCACAGGGCTGGGGCCTGGGCAGAGCCGTGATCTGCTCCCTGCATGCCTCTGCCACCCGTGCTGGTTGTGCGGGCAGGGCATCCCGGGTCTCCTGGTCGGTAAGGCCAAAGATGCACTTCCCCCGGCCACGGTGAGAGCCAGGGGGCTTGTGCCCGGCTTGGGGATACCCTAGATGTGGCTGTGAAGAGCTTTGCAGTCCGGCTTTCCCGAGCCCCCTGCCCCTATGCCGCCGTCACCTACGTCCCGAGGAAGGGGCAAGACCGGGTCACTGGCAGGCCTTATGTCCGTGGCTCTGCCCAGGCCCGGCCCCTGTCCCTCTCCCTGCCCGCAGGGCCCAGCCAGGCCCCACGCAGACCGCATCCGCTCCGGCCGGCGGCCCTGGCACCGCGTGCGGGGCGGACGGGCCGGGGCTGGGCAGGATCAACGAGCACGGCCCCCATGCGGCAGTGCGGGGTCTCCGACCAGGTCCGCAGCTCCCCAAACTCCTCGGGGGGAGGGAGGAAGAGGTGCGGGTACACCCCCGCCAAGTGCCCCCGCCCCACGGGGTCACGTGAATAGTACGTGACCCCCCCCCCACGCCCCGCCTCCGCTCCCGTCACTCCAGGCGCGGGCCCCGCCCCCAATATCCCGGCTCCGGCTCTAGCCCCGCCTCTTTGGGGGGGTACTCAGCCTGTAGCCCCACCCTCCTTTCCTCTCAGGCCC